ATTTCCCTACAAAAATGTCACAAATTTGTTCTTCTTTATAGCCAAGTAGTATTCCATTATGTATAGATACCACATTTTCTTTATCCAATTCTCTGTTGATGCATATACAGGCTGCTTCCAGGATTTAGCTATTATTAATTGTGCTGTGCTGTTATAAATATTGACATGCATATGTCATTGTAGTATGAGGTCTTTAGCTCTTTGGGAAAGATACAGAGAAGGGTGATATCTGGGTCATATGGACTTTCTAATTTTAATTCTTTGAGAAATCTCCATACTGATTTTCATAATAGTTATACTAGTTTATATATCCCATGTCCAGTCCATCAGGAAATTCCTTAGACTTTGTACTCAAAATACACCTCCAAACCAACTTTTCATCTCTATTGCCATCAGTCTCATTTGAGCCATGAGCATCTCTCTATTTTATTATTTTAATAGCTCTCTACAGTCCCACCAATTCTAGTGTTTCACAAGGTTTCAGTTTCTTTGGATTTTGAATTTTGAGTATGATATACATAGATGCAGAGATTTGGGAATTTATCATGCTTAGTGTTCTCTGAGATTCCTAGATTTGTGGCTTAGTACCTGTCATTAATTTTGAAAAATTATCAGTCAATATTACTTCAAATAATTCTCCTGTATCTTTTAAAATTCTCTTTCTAGTGTTCTCATTATGTATATGTCATGTGTTTTTATTGTCCCACAATTCTTGGGCATTCTGTACTTTTTAAATTATTTTTTCCTATTTGCATTTCAGTTTGAGAAGTTTCTATTGACATATCTTCCAACTCACATTCTTTCCTCAGTCATATTCAGTTTAATAAGCCCCTAGAAGACATTCATTTCTGTTATAGTATTTTTACAGATATCTTTTATTTATATTTTTTAGGGCTTTTATCTCTCTGTTTATATTACCTACCTATTCTTACATGTTGTTCACTTTTTCCATTAGACTCTTTGGTATAATAATCATGATTATATTAAATTACCTGTTTGATAATTCTATAATCTCTGCCATATCTGAGTCTTCTTCTGGTGCTTAGTTTTTCTCTTCAGGCTGTATATTTCTAGCCTTTTAGTGTGGCCTGTAAGTTTTTGATGAAAAGTTAACATTATGTAAAAGGTAAAAGGAATTAGTATGAGATCTTATGTTTATCTGGCTAGAAGTTAGGTATATAGTGTTGTAGTTGTGGTATCAACAGTTAAAATTTTCTCTTGTGTCCTTGATTTCCTCTCCCCTTTTGTTAGTTTTCCTAGAGACTTCTTAAATATAGTCTGTGTCTTGCAACTTTCTGAGTTATAATGCACTATTGTTTTACTGGATCGCTATTAATGAGCCAGTAATGTATTGAAAGTATGAGGGACATCCTGAGACTGGACATTAAGAATTTATTTTTCATTGATGCATAGTAATTGTGCATATTTATGGGGTACAGTGTGATATTTTGTTTATACACTGTGTAATATCAAATCATAAATTAACATATCTATCACCTCAAGCATTTATTATTTATTTATGTTGAGAACATTAAAAATGCTTTATTCTAACTATTTGGAAATCTATAATAAATTATTGTAAATTATGGTCACCCTTCTGTGCTATAGAATACTAGAACTTATTCCTTCTATTTCCTCTCCCCCTGTAACCAACCTGTCTCTGTCCCTCCCTAATCTTTTTTCCAGCCTCTGGTAATCACGAGTCTACTTACTCTTTCTATGAGAACAACATTTTTAGAATCCACACGATTGAGATCATTCAGTGCTTGTCTTTTTCTGCCTGAGTAATTTCATGTAATATAACTTCCTCTAGGCTTATCCATGTAGCAGCAAATGACAGTAATTCATCAATTGTCATTTAAGAATTCTTGCCAGTTTCTGGCTCCAGTGGTTTCCATTCCAGATAAATTTTCAAGAGTCCCACAGTTAACAAGTGGCAGAGATGGAGTAAATCTTTTGTTCTTTTGAAATAGCATGTGTGAATACATGTAGATCAGGCTGATAAATACTTGCTATTATAAAATTAATTTTAATGAAATATTTAAGTACACTTATCTATTCACATGTGTTATGTTAATTGCAATTCACACTAAATTTTCCATTATATAATTATCTCTAAATTTACAATTCATTGTAAACATTCTTGGATTTAATTTTGCTCTTTTCTATGCCTCAGATTAACAGGTTGGTAGCTATGATCTGAGTATATTAACAATATAAAATATTTATCTCATAAAGGACTTTTAAAAAGTCATTTTAGTTGATCCATATTATTTTCCCTTTTCATTAACATGACATATCAGTTATAATATTTTTGGCTGCAAATAAAAGAACACCCGATTTACAATAGTTTAAACAATAGAGGTTTATTAATAAATCTCACATAACATAACAAGAAGTCTGAGGTTAGGCAATCCCACAGTTGATTTGTTAGTTCATTGAGGTTCTCTCCATTTTTTTATATTTTTTTCCACTTTGTACCAAAAATGGCTCTATTCATGATGGCAAGATGTCAGCAGCTATTTTATCATCATATCCTGACACAGCTGTATGCAGAGGAGAAAGAAAGGGAGCTACAGAGGTAAGGAGCCCTTTTCTTTTTTATCAGGGAGGAAAATATGCTGAGAATCCCTGTCAGACTTCCTCTTATGTCTCACTTGTTTGAATTATGCCACATGATCACTTTTTGCCTCAGGGCAGGCTGAAATAGCAATAACTGGTACTTCCAGCTTCTGTTCGGGAAAGAACAGTATTTTGGGGTTTCTGAAGAGCAATTTATTGTTAGATATGCAACCACCACTGTATGCTTCACATGGATAATTTATAGCTAGCCTTAGGGTCTTAGAAAGGATATCAATGAAAAATGGAGATATTAACTACATCCATAATAAATCTTATATATGAGCTGTAAATGTTCCTTTCGCATGACTTGACTCTCTGATAGGCTTAATGGTGCTGTGTTTTTGAAGTTTCACCTTATGGCAAGATATCTAAGTGATCCACAAAGAATTTATTCCCATTGGCTGGAACTTTCAGGAAAGTAGATTTTGGTTTAATAGAAAAAGGGTATTTTGGACAAAGCTGAAAGATGACTACTTCCAGATGATTACCTATCACCAGAACATTTTAAGTACAGCACTTCAGTAGAAACAATAATCTATAAATTCTGAATCAAAAAAAAAACCTGAGATTCATGCCAAAAATCAGTGGAATTTTGTAGGAAACTCATGTAGAAATTATTATTTCCTACTAAATATTCAAATAAAGACTTGGTTTTCACCATAATATAATGTACTAAATAAAAATTGCCCACTTTTAAAAAATAGGTATGCATATTTTCATAATATTATAGTAATACCATTAAGTACATATTTCATGCTATGGTATTATAAAACAGATTGTCTCTCTGGTGTAAGAAACTGAAAGTGTAAATGAAGACCAAAATGTATAATAGACAATGTGAAATAGGAAGCAATGTTCAAAGGGGAAGGGGAAATAGGGGGTTAGGGGAAAGGAAAGAAGGGAAAGAAAAATATGAAAAAAGAAGGAAAAAACAGAAACAAAGCTTTTGTAAATGGAGGGGGTGGTGGAGGGGTGATAGGGAGGGAAGGGGAATGAGAAAAACAAGAACTAAGATATATCATGTACAGGTATAAATTCCCAATGATGAATGTGATCATAATGTATACCTAAAATGTACCAATAAAGTTAATTTTAAAAAACAGAATTATTGAAAAATAATGAATTATAGTGCACCAAAGTGAGCCAAGTAGATAAAAAGTTAACTGTATTAAGGTGGTATGAATGTTCAGCCTGGAACTCTAATGAAAATGTCATTTTGGGGGTGGCCAGAAAGGAGAAGAGAATAGAGTACAATAACAGATACATTCTAAACAGGAAATAGTACATAAAATATAGTTCCTGTGAGTGGGGGAAATAGTGGATTTTAAGATATACAATAGGGAATAAAGTTAATCATAACTTATTAAGATGACCTTGGTAGAAAATATATTGCAGATATGATCAGTCTAACATGAACTGACATCCTGACAATTGTGCACTTCAGGGGATAAAAAGGGAGATACAGATAGAGAATATCCTAATGAAAGTTTGGTGTCCCAACTGGATTAGTCTGTATTTGTTGCTCTGCTTAACACTTCTCTCTCCATTTTCTTTTTCTGGAAACTGTCTTCTTCCTTTTTTTTATTACTTAAATTCTTTTATTGGTACATTTTAGGTATACAACACATTTACATTTCTCATTGGGAACTTGTACCTTTACATGATGCATCTTGGTTCTTATTTTTCCCCCATCCCTAGCCCTCCCTTCACCCCCTCCACCCTTCCCTATTTACAAAGACTTTGTGGAAACTCTCTTCTGTTTCTTCTCTCTTCTGCTTCTTATTTTTGCTTATCGTTTTATCTCTTTTGCTTGGCAATAAATGATAGCTAATATTGTATTTAGATTAGTGCTTAGCAAGGTAAAGTCGTAAGGTCAAAGATCTCTGATTTTGAGCAGGGTCGAAAACTGCACTTGTAGCAATGTGTTCCAAACAAGAATTTTTCTTTAGCAAATAAAGGATTATGAAACTTAGTACAAAGATGAAAAATAGTTCTAGGAAGTAACATATAGCTACATATAAACTCAAACAATATATAAATAATAGATAAACCTCATATGGTTTTTTTTTGTTGTTGTTGTTTTGGCATCGAACTCGGGTCTTTGCGCTTGCGCAGCAGGCGACAAAACCACTGAGCTAGATCCCCGGCCCAAACCTCATATGTTTTATATATCAGAAGTGCAGATTTGGGGAATCAATAAGTTTACAACCGAAAAGTTGAATAATAACTGACACAGGCTGGAGGGAAAAGTTCAAAATCCATGCTCACTTATGTCTTATATAAACCACTTACAATCTCTGTTAACTGACTGCCTCATAACTGTAGGAGTCTTTAAGTTCAATTGTCAGGATTGCTTAGGTTTCAGCCTTACTCTCAGAATGGTGGATTGCCTGTTTTTACTGACTCGAATTCTGTTCATCTGCTGCTACTTTCTAACTGTATACTGCGCACAACGTAAGAAATTTTTGATTGGTTTATTTATATAGATTGACGATATTAAGAATTAATTAAATTCAAATTAGAGAGGGAAGAAATACTGGAGTAGTAGCCAAGAATAAGGAACTAGCAAAGGTTCTAATGTTAAATATTCACAAACCTGAAAGCATTTGATTTTCAAAATGTGTTTATTTTTGGAAAGGATAATTTTTTTCTCTTGAAGCTAACATGTTTGTCTTTAAGACAAACATAAAATATAAACAATTCTATGGACTTCTAAAATTTTTACTTGTGTTGATATAGTGATTATTTTATACTACTTATATTTAATAAGTTGTTCTTAGACTGTATAAACATTGCACTTTATTTTTCAGAAAAGTTTCAATCTTCAATGTGTTCAATACAAATAAGTATTTACTCAATATAATAAAAGTCATGCGAATCCCTATAAAAGAGATAGCTAAAGAAATAATTGATAAAATCACATCTGTCTATGAAACAGAAATTAAAACCTTTGCCAAGCCAAGCAGTACAATTCTTTTTGTAAAGAAGTACAATTCTTTTTCAATAGGTAAACATTAAAATTCCCTCAACAATGCCATTTGACCCAATAATTTGGGCAAAGGATTTTTGTAATGTTGGGTAATTAGATAACCAATGGAGCATTTTGCTTAGCTGAGGTTGTTTTCATATTTTAAAATGACAGTAAAGTTTTAAAAGTGTTTTCACTTAAAATTCCATTGTTTTCTGTTATTTTTTATTCATTTTGGCAATATGTTTATTTAGCAAAATAAGTGTTTCATATTTTACCTTAAGAAAAAAATATGCTTTACAAAAAGCATGTCTTTCTTCTGGATTCTATAGCCCTGATTTTATTAGAGACATTTCTCCTTCTTCTCTGCCACCTTCAACACCAAATACTCATATATTTGGAAACTTGGGATTCAAACAATCTAAAATCTTACTCTGTGTAACTTCTACTTTGTATTTAGGCTAGCAAAGGCTCAAAATAATTCACATTTCATGGAATTATAGTTTCTGTGCATATTTAAAGGGCCTACGGCACATAGAAAACTTTCTTTCTCATTGATTTTAAGACCCTAGAAAAATTTTCTGAGTTCATACTGGGAAGGGTATAGTATCATTGGCAGAATAACTCTTCATAGTGGTCTTGGAAATATAAAAAAAAATCATTAAGAGTTGGGACTGAAGTGCCTGCTACTCCTAGTGGCTACAAGTAGGGTGAATATTTAATCTACCTTTTAAAATCAGTGCTCTTTGGGAGTGAATTATACTATTAATAAGTTTTCCAGGATAACAGGTATAAACCAGAACTGTCTTTGCAAACTAGTAGGTATGATGACTCTCTCTTTGGGTATATTGTTTTGTCTTTCCTTAACCATAAGATGAAATTCAAATTTAATCTACACTAACTTTATTTCAAACATTACATGTTCTTTTGTCTATAAAGTTCTATACTGACTTTTTAAAGCCATGCTATAAAAATCAGTAAGCCCAAAAATGGAAAGAAAACATGTTTGTATATTCATCTTGATTTTTGAAGCCTATTTCTTGATAACGTGAGATTCGAACATCGGAGAAATATCACAGTTATTTCTATTTTCCTATCTTAAGATTTTTTAGTGTAAACAGTTTTTCTAACATGCAAGACTTTTGACATGTTTAGTATGCAAGTTTGAAACATGTTTTATGCTGTTAAGGAAATTTTTGAATTTTTAAATTTACAGCCAACTGTACATCTGTGACCAACTTTGATGATTGTCCAGAAAACATAACAGATTTCTGTCCAGAGAATATTGCTTGTGCATGCAAAGATGGAGAGCCTTTTTGCAAGTAAGTGGTTATACATGGTCTAAAACACTGCAAATATAATACGTTGTACGTAATAATTCATTGTTTTGTTTGCTATATTTAATAATGTAATAATTACTTTAAAATATTTTAATCAGAAATGGCTGTGATCTTTTTAAAATACCATAATCTACTGTTTTAAAAATAATATAATAAATTTTTAAAAATTAAAATTGAAATTATCTATATTGAGTTTATGGATTAGCATCATTCAAAACTGCTTTCCACAGTCTTTCACAGCTAAGATACATATATTAATAAATGTTTTATTGCTCCAACAGAGAAGAAAAGTTCCAGTGCATATCATTTTTTACAATAGTAATATTCCTGATGTTATATTTTATTTATATAAATAAAATTTCTTTGCAAATCAAGACATATTTTAGTAGCACTGTGTCCTACAGTTTTGTTTTCGAGTTTATGTTTTATAAAAAGTAATTGAGTCATGAATTGTTTTCCTTTAAAACTCAGGCAGATTTTCTATTTTATCTTACCATAAAAATGAGAGTGAATGGGTCAAAAATGAGATGAAGACTCAGGAAAAAAAAATATAGTATAAGAATGAGAAAGTGTGCATCTGTAAGAGAAACAATAGGTGGGTTGTACACCACTAACTAGATACACTGAATGACACTGAATGACTAAAATACTTTTAGTTTCCGAAGTGCACTATTTTCTCTGTCATGTTTGAATGTTTGCATATATTATAAATTCTTTTTATTACTCTTTCTTCCTTTCCTCTTCCCATGACAGCTCTTCTTACCTCGACAAATTTTTACTTGACCTTCAAACTTAAGCTCCTCTATACTGCTAACATAATGCTTAAGCCTTTGACTATGTGCTACAATTTCTTTGGCTGTAGGTTATATGTTCCCTTTTTGAGAGCACCACAAAAATAGGAACTTAGTATTATTTATCTCTAGTACCTAGCACAATGTCTGGCATACAGAATGTGTTCTATAAGGGTTTACTGAATAAATTAATCAGTCATTCTATGGGAGTGGTTGCTTGCCTGTGCAAAATATTGGATGCATATTAAAAAGGATCAAATGTAATTTTTAAAAAGCAATTGAAGCCAGGCATGGTGGAGAATGCCTGTAGTTCCAGCTGATCCAGAAGCTTAAATGGATCATTTAACTCCATAAATTAGAGACTAGCCTTGTTAACATACCAAGATTCTATCTTTAAAAAATAAAAAAGAAGCCACTGGATTTAGCATTTTGGGATTATTGCTAACAATCTCTTGGATATTGTTCTAAGACTGAGGTGGAGACAAAAACCAGATTGCAAAATTATATTCAAGGAATGAGAAATAAATGCAATAAAACAATGAATAAATTATGTAAGTCATTTGAACATTGTAATACTATTTTGTAAACTCATAGAGAAATTCTGGAAGGATCTGATTAACATTTTGGCTAACAGGTAATCATCTTTTACCCATCTTTGTAATCTCTACTATCATTAGTTGCCTCATTTGTTTTAAAAGTAATTAAAATTGTTAATTTTCATACCACATTAACATTATGCCTATTTTGAAGTGCTTTTTTTTCTACCAAGTTGATTCAAACAAATTACTTAAAGTTATTGTACTGGTGGATCTCAATATGAGTGAAACTACTTAGGGCTTTTATTTCCCCTATACATGTACACCTGACACTTTCTTTTGATATTTATGTTCTGGAATGACCCAGTCCTAGTGTATGGGGCCTGGCCCTGAGGTGCCATGAGACTGAAGCAAGAGAAGTAGATAGATCCAGGATTGCACAGACTGCATTTTATTGAGGGACTTGCTGACATAAGCATGGCCCTAAGCAGCAGCAATACTAGTTGGGTCCCTGCAATTTGGGACAGAAGAAGTGTAATATGGTTTATGGCAAAACTGACTACATCTTAGCTGAAATGTACCTGTTTTATCTTAAACTAATATCAAAGAGTCAGGTACATTCCTGGAACACATCGTAAAGCTCCCCAAGCCACTTTACTGATTTTGTCTCATTATAGTACCTGGGAAACTATTTAGGAAAACATACTAAACTTACTCTGGGGCAATGATAGCAGTTATCACTAAAGATGGTTACAGTCATGTCAAGCTGAATTCATACATTCTGTCCCTCATAACCAGCTATTACACTCTTACATGCTTCCACTTCTTCATTGTGCCCTAACATGGCATATTGTGAGGCCATTTATCTAACTTGTAAGTAGAATCAACAATAGCAGTAACAATGGTACATGTACTAAAAAAGAATAGTTATGCAAATGAAAATGATCAATTTTACCAACCATTAGCCCAAGGCTCCAAATCTATGACTTAGTATCTCCCTTATAGAAGTGTCAAAATCAGACAAGACATTAATATGGATTTCCATAGTTTTCAGGATAACAGCAAAACTAGCCAAACTGCAGCTATGGATTAAAAAAATAAATGTTTCATGGAGACTTGTAAATGTAAATCTGTACCATCTAGAAAGAGAATACTGGTGGTATCCTCCCTGTTAAACAACATCAGCTGGGGGCTGACATAGTGAAACATACCACACATGTTGGCCAACAAAATGTGGTCCATGGGTGATTCCTAATGCTAATGGTTAAGTGGGATGCCAGTTAGGAGGCTGAGTGAGGGTCTCAAGGTATTTTTTCTAGCACACTTGGGGCATAAACCAGTCATAGGTCCAGAATCCAACATGATCAATGGAGACCAAGATAGGAGGGCTGGAGACTCTTCACACTGTAGCAAGAAATACCTGACTCATCCAGGGAGAATAAGCCATTTGGAACCCCATAGAATTGTACCCGCCCTTAGATTTAATACTTGCTATGTTTAAAATAGCACCATGTATCAATTCTAACAGTATAGCATCTGGGTGGACAGCTTTGACATAGGCCTTTGGGACAGAGGCCAGAGCTCCCAGGTGCTTATAAGGGGCAGACCTACCAGCAACTGCATGTGCATTTAAATTTATTTACACCTCTCCAAGGATTTCAGCTGCCTGAGTGTTATTTGGCAGATACAAAGGTTTACATGAGCCCAGTAGAACATTGTTTCACTTACTTTTGTGCCATTCAAAATGTAAGGTCTAGGGCCGGGGATTTAGCTCAGTGGTTTCACCGCCTGCTGCGCAAGCGCAAGGACCTGAGTTCGATCCCCGGTACCAAAAAAAGAAAAACAAAATGTAAGGTCTCAGTATGATACCCAGTTGTCAGTATAAACAACCAGAAACCGTGGCTCATGAATTACTATCAGACACATCACCCATAGCTCTGCCCGTTGGCTGCTCTGATCGCTCCCATCTCAATCCAGATAGTATCAGGGTCAGGTTGTGTTTCCAGACACCTGGGTTCTTTCTTCTGGGCTTATCTATATATCAAGCATTTTGAGATATGCCCCCCCATCTCATACTTGTGTGAACATCGGTATGATAACCAGACATAATGCTATCTATAGCTTTGGAGTCACTGAACTGTCAGAGAGGGCACGATATTGTTGGAAATACACATGTCAGTTATTTAGAGTTGGAGTCTGAACTACAGTGTATTGAGGCCAGTGATAAGGCTATCTACTTATCAACAGACTAGTTCTCAATATGACCAATAAAGTCAGTCTTTATCTGTTATAAGGCATTGTATGCTGCTAGATGCTGCTTTGCTAAAAGGGTATATCTAGTTTCAACTCCAAGGCTGTGACCAGATGTAACTCTTATCCTTGTTGTTTTTGCAAGAAAATCTAATTCATACCATCTGATATAAAGTGGTATCTAACTGCATTGGCATGGGGCACCTGTGCCTACTCTATTATAATATTTTCTGGGTGTAGGCATTGAGCTAGATGAGGAATGAAATCTCTCCAATAACCCAAGAGTCTATAAAAGTGTCTACATCTTCTATAATTCAGGGGATGAGAAAGGCTTGTGCTTTTTCTCACATGGTACCTGGAGTCAAATTGGCTTACGTGACAAGACCTCCACCCCTAGGAACTGCAAAGATGGTCTAAAGCTTTGAATCTTGGGGTTCACAGCCCATTTCACTCCTGTGTAAATGAGCACAGTCACTCTGTTTTCTGTGACAGTATAATCTTTACCAAATAGCATGATATCATTGATATACTAGAACTAGATAATATTAGTAGGCAATGTCCAATCCCCCTTTTCCCAAGTTAAGGCAAGCCACTCTTCCTTTCAAAGGAATGCTGAAAAAGGGTATTTGGTAAATCCAGAACACCATACACAGAGCCAAGGGAGCATGTAACTTTTTTTCCCAGTACCTGGATAATTTTAGACATATAACATTAGCATAAATAGGAGATATCACCTTATTTATCTCCCTATAGTTCAGTCATTTTCCAGCTTCTATCCAACTTTTTCACTGTTAAGATAGGGCTATTAGTGGCACATTGGGAGTGTCATAGAATCTCAACCCATGCAAGTTCTTCTATGATCTCTCCAATGTCATGATATCCCCCTGGGAGATTGTACTGCCTGCCATTACCACCCTTAATTAGGGGGAGGAAGCTAACAGAGTCCCATTTTGCTTTCCCCCTCAATCTTTCATTTGCCATCTGAAGTTTGAGTCTGAATTCCCCCACAGAGTTCTGTAATGTTTTTCATCATAGAATATCCATCCCTAGAATGATCTTGGGGACTAGAGAGATCGTATCAAATATGGAGCAGGGATCTTCTCTTTGTCCATGGAAGACAAGTAGATCATGAGTTTCATAAAATGTCTCTAATCCTCTCCTGAATCATTCACTCTGGGATGACCTTGGTTCCACCCCTCATCACAGGGAGTAGGGTGAATCCATCTCTAACAACCAGCAATGCTGGAGCTTGAGAGTTCTTCCTTTACCTCCATGGGGGTAGTTGAGGGAGATTAGAACTGTTTTTGTGGTTTAAGTTACTCTCATAAGACTACCAAGATTGCATTAGGTTACATATCTATCTTTTCTCCAGGGTAAGCAAATCATACCACATCTGCTTTCTTAA